AAAAAAAAGAAAAAAAAAAAGAAAAAAAAAAAAACAGTACAAAAGCCTGCAAGGGCAGCCCCTAGTCTGTATGGCCGCCAGTTCCTTATTACTCACTATTCGAAGACACAGTGAATAACACACCATGGGGCTCACACAATTACGCAAGTCCTCCCCCATCCACATGGCGCGAGCGATGTCGGTGGCCACGTGGTTCAGTGCTGCGTGGTACCCCCGTTGCCTGTTCTGAGACTTGAAGACCCACCCGTGTATCACCCGCAAAGCGATCCCCTGCACCTTCACCGCCCTCTCCTTCGCAGCGTTGAATTCCGACTCGTCTGCGATCTTCTGCTGCGGTATGCTGCACATCTAGATGTGTATAAGCGCCGCGTGGTACCCCCGTTGCCTGTTCTGAGACTTGAAGACCCACCCGTGTATCACCCGCAAAGCGATCCCCTGAACCTTCACCGCCCTCTCCTTCGCAGCGTTGAATTCCGACTCGTCTGCGATCTTCTGCTGCGGTATGCTGTTGTGAGGCAAGACAATGCTGCAACGAATGGGCGGAGGCTGCTCTCCCTGCGCCACGGCCACAAGATACCCGCACGCCTCCACGATCAACTTCACGATGGCGAATCCCTCCCTTTCGTTCCAGAAGCGGAGGTCATCCACCCATAGCTTCTCGCTGCCTCCATTCCTTCCCGCGTATTCCGCTGGCGCAACCTGCTCACCAATGCCTCGTCGCCGTCCCCCTCCCCTGCGACATCGCTTACCTTCACCCCTGCTGTCGCTCCTTCCCCCGCGTTTGATCCCCCAACCGCTGCTGCGCCGCCTGCCCTCGCCACCTCCCCTCGTGTTCCCCCCCTCTTGTTGCTGTCTCTTATACACATCTAGATGTGTATAAGAGACAGCTGTCGCTCCTTCCCCCGCGTTTGATCCCCCAACCGCTGCTGCGCCGCCTGCCCTCGCCACCTCCCCTCGTGTTCCCCCCCTCTTGTTGTTGCCCAGCCCACCCTCGCCACGCCCCCCGCGTCTGTCCCTGTCTCTTATACACATCTAGATGTGTATAAGAGACAGCCTTTCACCCCCAACTTGCTTCCCCCAATCAAAATCTGGCTCCTCGTTACCGCAAGGTAACAGATAACCAATCGTAACAACTCTAACCGGACTGT